CGAATGGGCCAAACCGCAGGCTGCACGAGGAGCTAACAGGCATGCATGTCGCATAAAATTATTTCGCGCATTTTGATTTTTTTTTTCGCTGCCGTAGTTTGCATATTGATGAAACGCAACGTTTTAATGGAGTATCATTGTATTCTTAGCGCTTGCGAAAAGTTACTATCCGACTATTAAATCTGGAGGGCTGCATGGTCTAGTTTTCGCCGGTGTACTGAGGGCAGCAACAGCCATTTGACATCTAAGCGTTCTTACAAAAAAAACTATTGTAATGCGTTGCTTATTTAATAGGTACACTTGACCACTGACAATATATTTTTAGGAAACATTAGGCGTCAGTATTATAGATACATCGAAATGTAGCGTCTGGTATCGTATATTGGATGGTAAAATTGAGAGCATCATTTCATTTCTACGCTCCTCGCCAGGCTTGGACGACGACTTCCCATCCACAACAACTTTGAGGACTGTCTCGTTTGATGAGGTAAAGTACAAAACATTTCCGCACTATTAATATAAAACTTACGAAGTACGCCGGAAATGCAGGTATACACTTTCATCGAAAAATTACATTTGTTCATACCAAAACATAATGCAACAAGCAAATGAAATAGAGGAACAGTGCACACTGAAACAATTGACACACTTAAAGTCCTAATTCAGCTTGGTTCAAAGTTAACACCCCTAAGAGTGTTACAGCAACACCCTTACCACAAAAATAGGGTACTGACGACTTTAGCAGCATACTAGGGCAAAATACCCTTACTCGTCTCTGACGCAAATAGCACCCAAGTGTGTAATTCGTTACTGCTATTCAAGAGGAAAGCGTTCCTACCGCCTAAAATTAACACGTTACACTTTCGTTGCTCTGAATTTGTCATTTGTGCATAAAGCAGTAGCTGCTTCCAATGTGTGTCGTCGTTAAGTGTAATTTTTTTAACGCGTTAATTTACGAATAACCGTGGACACATACGTTATGCACATTTTAGTTGTATATCTCGCGTTTTCTCGCAATGCCAATTGCGCGCGCGAGTTGGGGCAAAAACTCTCGTGTTGTACACGTTCCCATCCAGGAATAATTTTTACACCGTTTCTCGTGAATTCATCAAGAAGTAACTAATCGTTTTGGTCGTTTTGGAGCGCGCCGGCATCGACTTTTCTGGAGCGAGCCTATTACACTGGGCGATCGGGATCGAGACCGACGTGTTTCACTGGTCGTTTTGGATTAGCTCCCGCTGCAGATCTCGATCTGGATCCGAGAAAAGTCGCTCCCACGATTTCGGCGGATTCAACCGGAAGCCAGCCGGGCCATCCCTCGGCGCACACACGTGACTTCCTTTCTCGTGGGGCATCTCGCCTGATCTCGCCCATCTCGAATCAGAAGATGAAGAAGCACGTAGTGGGCTGGGCTCCTAGATTGTCTCGACATCAGAAGAATTCGTAATGGCCGCTTGCTTACCCCTTGGCTCGACAGCCGGTTCGTTATCCAGGAAGGAGAAGAGAAGGTATTTGCCGCGCTACGGGCATTCTGGTAATCTTTGCTAGAAGCGCCTGATCAAGCGTTCGGTACACTGTGTTAGTTTCACACAGCAGAAGTAATAGCTCGAGAGAACTAGCAAGTAGAAATAACCGTCAGTACCGAGCAATGGCGACACCTGCGAGCTATGTATTCGCTGCTTCTCGCGTGAGTTGAAACGTGGTGGCGCCAGTCTGCAAATAGACCCAACCACTTCCGGTTCTGAACTAGACTGCGGGTTTTGCAGTATTTCCGAAATGAAATATACACGCTATTTTCTGGAAATGGCGACTTGTAGCACTGCCAGAATTAATACACTCTTTTGATAAAAGAAAGATTAGTAAAAATAAGGAAATATACGCGAACCGGAAGTGTGCAGGGTCCACCCAACAGATGACAAAACCAAGTTTGTTGCCAAAAAAAAAATTGGAATATGAGGTATGACTGGGTGCCATATTTGATCTCTATTGCCGACAGATCCGGAGGGGGGACGGTATGGTTTGCCTAGCAGAGGTCCCCACATTTTCAGATCAAGTACCTACCTAACGTTTGCAAAGAACGGCGATCTTGATGGTGTTGAATGCACATTGCGGAAGCACCGTGGAGGCTTTAACATATATACAACGTAGTAAACGCGTCAGCGTTCTCCGCCGAGTCACATTCAGGACTAAGTAAAGGTGCGTTTATACTCCAACGTAACGTCGACGCGCGGGCGCGCCCGACAGCGTTGCACGACGTTGCTGCGAACGGAGTACCCATACTCCGACGACAGGTCAAACGTAACGTAGCTTAGCGCACCTCAGCAACCGTCGGCGTAGCTCACGGGGGATTCGAGCAGGCTCTATTCCCGGCGTCGACAAGCGCAGTCCGACAACGATGACTATTCAATGGAGAAGCCGTCGCTCCAGTGCCTTATTCGGGAATCCTGTTGTCGGGGCGTCGGGATCCTCGGGGCCAGTTGGAGTGAGCGAGATGCTCATTTCTGGGATCTGAACCTGTCGTTCTTGCCGCGTGTCGTGTGCCGTTGTCGTGTTCCCGTGTTGGTGTGCGTGTTTAACGTTCGTGCGCTCGACTGGTGGAGTGTGTGCGTGGATGTGCGGACCGCTTCGGAGGATGCGCTACCCTTCATTCTCGTTAGGCCTATCGAAATAACGAGTCAGTGGTGGTCGGCCGTGGTGTAGGGGTGCCGGAAAAAGCTGGAAGCTCGATGACGCGCCAAAGGTAGGGTTAATTAGAATTAAGGATGACCAAATCTGTGTGTTATATATGAGCATGTGCTAGTCGCACTCACCGGCAGACGTTCCCGGTCGAAAAAGCGCCGTCGAATGTAAGGGAACGTCGGACCCAGTGAGGTATTCGAATTATTTAGCCGGACAAAAATTTTCAACTGGGGTCTCTCAGCTTGTAAACGATAGAAGCGGTACGCGTTGAAAATTGGACTGACTCCTGTATTCTTCGTGTAGGCTCTGTAAAGTGCGCTACAATATTGAAAGGGTACCTGCATAATTTAGGCATCGTCTGCTCTCTTCGCTGTCCTTTTCAGACTTATAATAAAAAGGAAAGAAATGCGTTTTCAGTTCTCTATAATGTCGAATTAGAGCGCGGCTCTTGAAGAGAAAGAGGGGAGGGTATGCCCCTCCACCCCCCTCCGTACCCTCCCCTTTTCCTCTCCTACTCCCCTCCCTTTTGACGAGGAAACAGAATTGGGGTTGAAATCACGTGACGTCGAATTCTCCGCTAAATTTAGCGGGGAAACGTCCTTTAGTGCAACGCGCGCAGTTAAGCCGACGGCGACGCCGACGCCAACTCCGCTCAAGTCCGAAACGGGCGCCTGAGAGTTGCGCTCTCAAAATTCGGGGGAAAGAATATCCCCTTTCTTCACTGTCATCGACCCCCCCCCTCTCTCTCTCTCTCCCGAGCAATTTCTACGGCCCTTCCTGACTCCTATTCGTGTGTTTGCGCACGCGTATGTGTATGTGCGTCCCCTCCTCATCGCTCAGACGTTACCGAAGTCTCTACGCACACCGCCTGCGGGTGACCCCGATGGAGTTGTTGGTGGAAGACGAGCCCTAAAGCCACGCATACCGCGCGCGACTCCAGGTTATCACAAAGTTCAATATTCGCCTCGACACCGAAGCGAAGATTTTGACCTCAAATTAATCCTTCCCAAAGTTGTGAAACGTCACTTTGTCGTCACCAATAACTTCCACAAACGACAATCTTGCGACGAGAAAGTTCAGAATATTTCCAGCCCGCCTAAGCACAGTCTACGTATCATTGATTCTAACATGGCGTAGGGATTTAGGGACACGCAGGAGCGACGTCATCAATGCAGCCGTTCAATCGCCTGGCACCATGGTGTTGCTCGCGCGCGCTCCGATGAAGCTCGCTACGACTTTGTGTTTTACATTCTCGCTGTAATTTGAGCACCGAGAGAGCTTGGATGACTGGCATCTTGCCCCGCGTGACGCCAACGTCGCGAGAGTCCAATCAGCATGCTCCGCGAACTTCGGCCCCAACTTCGTGTTTTACGAGTTTAGCGACCCTGTAAGTAGTTTATGTAAGGACCATGCTAATATGAGTCGACAAGATGAGAACGGCGGGGCGTCTCCTTCGAATGCCCAGTCTCCGACACAAGCTCGTTGCCTTCCGGCTTGCCATAGCCTCCTCAATTGGCGACTTGATCGATCGAAAGCGTCGCTGCGGACGGCCTGCCACGACTAGCCGAATGGCTAGTCGTAGCAGGCCGTCCGTCCGTACTGACGTCAGCAAAGGATTTCTTATCGACGGAAATAAGAGGAATGTATGGACTTTAATTTTGACGGTGTTGGCAGTGTTGGTTTCAGATCGCTATGATTTCAAGCTTCCACCATGCTGATTACAAACACCATCGAACTTATTGTTCGCAAGGTCATGACGTTCACGAGAGGGAACCGTACGAGGGCGCCAACGTAACATCTCGCCTAATCTCGCCGCTAATAGTGACAAAGCCAGGCAGTTGGACTACGGAGCCGTAAAGCGCCCGGTCACAGATTTGGAGCGTGAGGATCTGGTAGCACAGGGCATCAAAGAGTCATTTCTCGGATAGAACCGGTGCATCAACGCACAGCTTTTGCAGCGGCGAGGACCCGAAACACACTTGTTCGCTCGGAAGAAGCGTGTTTCGGTGTCTCGCCGCAGCAAGGCGCCAGTCACGTGGCTCTCGTCTCATCCGTTGTCTGCCGCTCCACTGTTTCCATTTCGGCAGCCGCTTCTCGTGGCGATTTGCCAGGCTTTGTCAGTACACAGGAAGCTACGCCAAAGCTCCCGAGACGCTGAAGTGTTATCGGACGTAGGACGCTCTCGCTGGAGATAGGACGACTAAAAAAATACTTTCCTGTCATCTTCATCTGGTTAGTGACATTCAGCAATGACAGGCCGTGTCCCCCGGCGGTAAATTGCTCAGACTCACATATCTGCGCCGGTATACGCGGGCCATAAGATGTATCCCCGTTTTGTCACTCGACCGCAGAAAGGGCGTCGCATCGTGCACACCAAGACCATCCAGCGGTCCGTGACGCGCAAGCGAACGCTGACACGTCCGGACGGTAGCCAGGAAGTCGTCGAGGAGGAGGTGGTCTCCCCGCGCAGCCGGGAAATGTTGCCCAAGGATCGGCCCCTGAGCGATGCCGAATTCCAGAGGGACTCGCTTAACTGGCACAACTACTACCGCTCCCTCCACGGAGTGCCGCCTCTACAGCTCTCGGCAGAGGCAAGGATTACGCTCACGCCACAAACCCTGGCGCTCATTCGGGTGTTTCGTTTAGTTAACGCTACCTGTAACGCTGAAGTATTATACGAACCTAGGTGCATAAACAATGTGTTTAGACACGACGATAACGCTCCCAAACGTTGAAAGTTAATGAAAATTGACAAAACAATAGCTCTAACGCTGTTCTGTCGGACGTACACACATGTTCTTTGCGATTGTTTTGGCTGTACATAATATAGCCCTAGTCGAGGTACGGACTGACTCGCGCTCTCTACGTGGCTTGCGCGTGATGGTATCGCACTATTGACTGGAGATCATTATTCCTAGATCCACTAAACACGACACGCTTCGGGCATTCATACTCCGTTCTTCTATTGTCACGTGGGCGACGCTATTTTGTTACCTAATCCGCTTGGTGGCAAAAATGCGCAGGATCGCGACGTATTCACCGGGCGGGATTGGCTTAATCACTGTTAGCAAACGCGCAAAAAAGCGACGACCGCCGTGACGGCGCACTTTTCGTGCTGCTCGATTGGCCCCTTCAGATCACAGCGTTAGTTGCAGTCGGACTTAATGTGAAACGGAGCTCTTACTTTTTTCTACGCCTTTCCACGCCTCTCGCCCCCTTCATAATCTAGGACCGTGGTCCATGTGCCAGTGAAATCCTTTTTTTTACGTGTCTGAACGAGCAAAAGTTTCGATAAGTCAAAGCAAAACCAGTAACAGTACGTGCGCAGCTACGACGCGCGGTTCTCAAGCCTGGCCACGCTAAATAAAATAAGATGTCACTAAAAAAAAACAAAAAAAACGCCTTTTTTGGTTTTCGAAAAGAGTGGCTAAGAAGGCTAAACAAAGCCAGAAAGAGCGGCAGGAAAAATTGCCTTTTTCGGTTTGTTTCCCGATTTGCTTCATAATTTATATCCACCCTATTGCACTTTAGCATGAAGAGGCTAAGAATACAGTGCACGAGGCATAGTAGGGCGTTCCGAAGTGTTCCGTACTCTGGAATTTCCCTGAGCATTTCCTCCGTAGCGGTCTATCCGTTGGTGTCGGGACCCCCGCAACGCTTTGCGGCGGCCGTATCTATACACGTTTTGCTCGGTATATTTTGGTGGTTATAAGTGTTATCGTGACGACATGTTTCAAGGACAACTGTGCTTTAAGTTATCAGGACAATCACTAAAAGAAAAAAGAGCAGCTATTTTTGATATGCCATCACTTGAAATAAAATACGTTTTTCGAAAAGAGTTTTCATTTTTTTTAAACAAAATGTGACAACTTTTTATAATTCAATTTAGGAGCGCAACACTCACAACCAGAAAGCTGCCAAACGAATCTAACCCACCATGTGGTGGTCTATTATGCTACAGCTTGATTTTGCCTGGCGTAAGTGATCAATTCCGCATTAACACCAATCGACACTATCAGAAAAAAGCTTCCACCGTCGGGCGACTGTTAGCGTTCGCTGCTTTCGCAAACAAAATAAAACTGGATAGAAATTGCACACGATAACTCATCTCTATCCAAAGTTTTCAGGTATCTGGCATGGTTGCTTCTTCTTGACAGATGCGAGTTGTTACGACGCGTCAGGCATGGTCTTTCTGTAGATAGTTTCTTCTTTATGTCCAGACCTCTCCCCGCAGTTCATATGTACCATGTCGCACAGGCTGTCAACCAGAATGAAAGGACTTTTAGGAAAACATCGCTCCCAAATAAAGTCTTTTTAGTTACTTTTACTTTAATGCCGATTAAACGTTATGCACTAGCCTGAGCATTACCAAGCTCAGTCTCTCATCGACACATATGATGCTGTTCCACGGTGCTACACCGAGCCAATGGTCGCTCGAATTTTCGCGTTTTTAACCACTGAACTAGATGCTACCTTCTTTCCAAGTTCGTTGAGACGTCCGAGCAGCCAGAGTGCTCTAGCATACTCTATTTCACCCTATGATGTACAGCAGGAAAGGCTACAAGCGCGAATTCCTTGCCCTAGCGAACATATCGGTGGCACAAGCTCTCGTCCATTAGGGGCAACTGCCAACCTTCAGCTCGTGCTTCTAGCCTTCGCTGCGGTACAACACAAGGTGAAATGGAGTATAGTGGTATCGTTTTTTTTTGTTTTTTGTTTCTTGTTTTTTTTTTTTTGTTCCCGCGGCCGCAGTGGTTCTACCTAGCGGCACTAAATAAGATACGCTTCAGAGTAACGACACTTGCCCACATTGTGTCTTAAAATCATGGTTGCCCGTTATCTAAAACTTTATCTGAAATCACAAAAAAAAAACGCTTTTCCATTTTCCACAAATGTTTAAACAGGTGCCGACAAAGCAAATAAATATCACCTGAGCTTCAGAACACCGAATCTAATGCTGAGGAACTCGCACTTTTGAATCATGACGATCGGCGGTTGCGTCTGCTCTGCACAATCACCAAGATGGCGGCACCCTCAACAATGTCGGGGAACAGAGAGCGGATACTCTGAGTGCAGCTCATTTATGGCGAATTCGGGTGGTCAGTCGCCGGCGAGAACGAGCAGACGGAACCGGCAACCAGAAACGCGCCGGCGGCACACCATGTGACCCTCACCACCCGAACACGAAACGCCAGACGGTGGCAGTTTATTTCGCCTCTTGCCCCTCTTGCCTGCGCGACACCGCTAGCGAGAGCCTGTCACCGCCGTCACCGCCGTCACTCATGTCCCAACGACTTGGATTGACTTTCGTAGCGGCTGCTAAAGTTACTTCAGATCAGTTTCGTTCTTTCATTCATTTTTTTTTCTCACTGACCTTCTCTCCCATTTCTGAAGTGACGACACCGGATACAGTCTGGCGCCTACTCGCCCGGCCGTTCAGAGCTCGGGCGGAAAAAGCGCCGGAAAGTTGCCGATGCTTGCCGGAGAACCACCACCCGAACGGTGCGCGCCGGCCGGAAACTGACCACGCGAACACTATTGCCGGTTTTCCGGCAAAATAAGTTGCCGACGATTGACCACCCGAATTCGCCATTTGTGACACTAGTACCACCACTCGAAAGCACTAAAGCGTTCGCGAAAACTACGAAACAGACGACAAAGCGATTCTAAAGCAATAATACAAATTTAACTGCTTTTCTGCGCTTGTTGACAAACTAAGGCATCACAAACAACACAATCTTATGAAGTACAGATATGCAGGAGATCCCAAGCTGACCCCGGTGCGTTCCAAACGATGATGCACGATGAGATACGCGCACCACGAAGTTCAGAAAGTTTAAGTTCAGCTTGTCCTTGTATATCAGCTTGAGCAACTAAAAGTTATATACTTTCTTATCCTTTAATAGAGGGTGTACTATCGCAATATTCAGCTTCACCTGCCAATTTTTGTTTTTAATATTTAACGTACGTACTCTAAAAGAAAAAAAAATCCCAAGTTCACTTTCGCATAGAACACAACGACCTCGGCGAACAATGCACCAACTCAACTCTTTGGCGTCACGGCACTGCGGTGGCGCTGCTGTCGGCACTGCGCATGCGCACAAGCTTCACTTCGCAGGAATCTGGTTTCTCCGTACGCGCACGGCCCACACCTGGCGCAAGCAAACGCCGACTTGTTTCGGAGCAGTGTGTCGGTCTAGAGACCAACACGCGGCCCTGACGTCACGCAGACGCTTCACCTCACGCGAATCTGGTCTCTGCGCACGCGCGGTGCCGACAGCTGATGTGGGCAAACGCGAGCTCGTTTGTGAACAGCTTGTCGGTCTTTAAGAATATCCCAGATCTGAGAATACTATTAGATATCTAAACGAACGCGATTTGCGCAGGAACAATGAGGAGTAAAGCACCATGTTCATTGTACTGTTCCGTGATTCCTTTGGAGTTATTATTTTCTTCTTTCCATTTCAGTTGTCTGCATTTGGCCGTTTTTGTTTCGGGGGTCTCCTTAGGAGTACACTCGAAAAAAAAAAGGGAGGAGAAATGGAGGAAAAAGCGATGTTCCTCCCTGTTGCCTACGGAAGGGAAGAAATCGCACCCGTTCCTCCATTTTACCGATTTAGATGCAGCGCCACCTGGTGACGCTTGAAAAAGGGACGAAAATTCCTCCCCCATGTCCGCGGCGGCAGCGGCGGTCAAACCGCCGCTGCCGCCGCGAACATGTTTAATGGCGGTGACGGCAACTTGAGGGATTGGTTACATTCACCTAGAGCAATCCCACTACTGCCCATGCGCGGTGCTAGGAGAGAAAAAGCGGAGCTGCGGGGGCTAGCAAAGGTACACTAGTTTAAAAAAAAAAAAAAAGAAAGCGAGGCGTGTAGCGCGGCGTGCGTCTCGCAAGAACCACGCCGTATGTGCCCGCTTCAAGATCGCGCTTATTCATTGTGGATGAAAGCTTGTAGCTGCGATAAGTACAGGTGGCGACTTATCTCTGGCATGGCAAGTACAACCGCTTTCGTCGCATTCCTTGCTACATGACAAGCAGACATAGTGACCCAGGAGCGAGGGAACAAAAAAAGGACGGACAGACTCGAAACTATCTATCCTTAACCGGCTCGCCTGCCTATTTGCTTTAACTTCAGTAAGAAGTAGGGCGCACAAGAAATAATCGTCGTAAGCGTGGAATCCTTTTTTCGCTTGATCGCGTAGTTGCTAAGATCACTACTCTATTGGAGTCGACACGTCTATACGTTCCTAGCCCCGTCACCTCCGCGAGAAACATATACTCTTGAAATAAAGCGTACGTACCATACAGCGAGAGGTAATCCGTGCGGCGTTTATTTCAGTTCTGTGTAAAACAGAGCGGCATATCCAGTCGATACGAACGAGCACTGTGTTGTGGCGAGCGACTTCGTCCAACACACGCTGTAGTCAACGTCGGGATCACGACCGGCTTGCGGGAACACGCGATTTTTTTTTTTTTTCAAAAACCTGAGCCTTTTACAAGAAATGACACTGAAATGACGATTCGGCGAAGGAACGAAGCAACAGGTCCGGGAGACAAGGTCAACTATTCATTCGGGAAGAGTCCACT